CCGGTCCTCCCCGGCGCCCTCCCGGCCCCCGCCCCCATGACACCGGCTTCCCCGGCTGCCTCGTCCCGTCTGAGCCCCTTCTCCTGAGCTCGGCTGCCTCTAGCCACCCCCTTGGGCTGTGACCAGGCTAGCTCTGTCCTCCCCGACCCAAAGGCTGAGTGGACACAGCTCCAGCATGTGACTCACCAGACCCTTGGGATCCTAGGTAGCCCTCTGTGTCCCACGTGGGGAGGCCACGGGCCCCTCTGTGCTGCCCTGCCTCTGGCCATACCCACGACAATCCCCCGGGTGTCCCTGGCCACACCGGTCATCCTGGACCTCTGGTTGCTGAGCGACCCTCACCCGACCTTTGCCACCACCAGCTCTGGCCCATCACAAGATGTCCTTTCCAAGACACTTGGCTGACCACCCTGTGCAGCCTCTGGTTAGCTCATCCCTGCGCGCGGGAGGGCCTGACACGTCCTTACCCACCTTGTGACCTTCCACCCTCCAGGCTTTGGTCAGCCCAGAGCACTGGTGGCCTGGCCCTGCCAGTTCCACGCATGGGGCTTTTCTAGGAAAGGCCAGGGTATAGGGACAGGACGCGGCTGAGGGGACGCTGGGGTGCTGTGTGCTCTGAACACTCGTGGCGGTGCCCGAGCTCCTATGGCCGTTCTCAAGACATTAGCCCCATACCTGTGGGCAGGCTGGGTGGCAGGTCGGTTGTCTCCACAAAGCTGTGAAAGCACTTAGTTCTGCTCTGAGGAATCAGGGAAATCCTCTTGGAAGAGGCGGGCTCTGAGCTGGAGGTGAAGGGGCGAGTGTTTCTGGTGAGGAGAGAAGAGCAGGGCGTCGTCAGTGGGGAGCAGGTTCTGCAGTTCTAGCAGGTCACGTTTGGCCCTTCGTCGGAGCTCGAGGTGAGGTGAGGCTAGTGGAGGGCAGGTGGTTAAGGGCCCCTCGTGGCCACCTGCTGTCTGAGCCCCAGGACTGGCACCCAACCTGACCAGGCACATGTGGGTGCATGACCAAGATCCTGAGATGAGAAAGGAGGTCACGGGATTGCGGCTGGCTATCCTCCTGGGGGTGATTTCTCCCCCTCCCCCTCCTTTCCTGCCCTCCCTCTCTCTCTGGCAAGTGTATGCACCCTATGGCAAAACCTAAAAAAAAAAAAAGTGCATTTTTTCCTGTCTTCTCTGTTCCATTCTATTGACCTTACGTCCGGCCCTTTGGCGATATCTTTCTTGACTACTTCCTCTCTGTAGTAGGCCTTGATATGAGGTGGCGATTCCTTCCACCGTTTTTTTTTTCCTTCAAAATTCCTTGTTCTAAGGCATTTCTCTTTCCTAATAGACTTTAAAACTAGTTGGCCGCCTTCTACAAAACATCTTGCAAAGTTTGATAGGACTTTGGTTAAACCTATCAATTTCATGGAATTGACTGTGTTTTCTTAGGATTATTTTACTTTTTTTTTGGGGGGGGGGTGCCTACAGGGCGCGTGTGCTCACCAGAAGACAGAGACAGAGAGACAGAAAGCGAGAAAGCACCCCCAGGGAGGATGGCCACACCACAATCCCTTCTCCTCCGTTCTCCTCTCAGGATCTTGGGCACGCACGCACACGCGCCCAGCATGAGTTTAAGCCACCAGGTCCAGGACGCGAACCGCAGTCGACTGTGGGAGTCCAGTGACACGGCCATTACGCTAACTGCTGGTCCCGCCCCCCATTGCAGGTTAATAACGTGTATAAGCCTCACACTGGCGCACACTGTTCCGTTCGCTTTATTGACCGTTGCATTCCAGCAGCAGTAAGTGTGGAGAATGTGCAGTTCTGTAATACCCCGACGTACACACCGGTGCTCCGAGTGTGCGACGTTCCGTGTGCAGTGCACCCCTGTATGTGAGGAGCAGTCGACAGTGAGGTACATGTGGTCTGCAGACGAAGCTGGAATTCCTTCAGTTCCACCCCCTGTGTTTGTGTTCAGTAGAAAACAGGGACCGCCCCGACGCCAAGGGCTGCACGGTCCAGGGTGGACCCAGTAACTGACCCCACACCTCCCACATGACCTCAGCTCCTGGGGAGAAGCAGAGTACTCCTGGACGGGGCCCACTCGGTCTGAGGGGGTGCAGAGGTGCCAGCAGTGTGCCTGGGTCACAGCGGCCTTGAACTGCACTTGCGACAACAGCTGTGGAGACGCAGGGACCTCGCGAAGGCCAGCATGCATCAGATTACGAAGGAGCCGCCGCCAGGAATAATGTAGGCGGCGTTCTGCCGTCACGGCGAGACAGAACCAAGCATGAAACAGTGCCTTCAATCTGGAATGCTAAAAGATTAAACTCTATCAAAGGAATTCTTGGACGAAGTATACGAACCACAGTTGCATGATTTCTAGCACAACGATGTAAGCGTGTCGATCTGCAGGGTATGCATACAGGTGTGCCTACAGCCTCAGAAAGAGAAAGCTAAAAGAGGAATTAAATATCTTCCTCCAGGCGTTAGATTAAAAAAAATAATAATAAAATAAAACCTGGAAAACCTGAAAAGAGATTGACAGAAGTGAAAGTTGGAAATTAATTTCAAACATGGGTACGAGGGCCAGCAGGCGGCGTGTGGTTGCAGTGCTGGACTGCCACTGGACTCCCGCAGTTCGAGCCTTGGACCCGGTGTATGCATGCATGCCCTGAATCCCAGGCGGGCATTGGACAGGAAGGGCTTGCAGTGTGGCCATCCTCCCCTGTGGGTGGGGTGGGGAGCTTCTCACATTCCCTCTCTGTTTCTCTCTCGAGGCTGCACGTGCCCTATGTAAAAAAAAAAAAAATAGACAAAAAAAACCCCAGTAAAACTAATAAGCACAGTAACACTGATTCTTAGGGAAAAATCTGTACGCCGCTGTTCAAGCTAATTACAGAAGTCAGCAAGCCCACAAGTTTGCAGAGTAAGAGTCGACAGTGAAGAGGAGACCCACACCGCAGGGCGTGCTAGAAAATGTAATTTACCCAAACTGACCTCAGTAGATGCAGAGTTTAAATAAACCAGTTTCTGTCCATCTCCCTCCTTCCGTATTTTCCACAGGAGAATTCTGTTGACTCTTTAAGGACTAGAACATCTCAATGCTGTTCAAATTATTCCAGGGCCAAGAAGAGGACAGAAGCCTTAAGGCCGTCCCGTCCCGTGAGGCGGCACTGCGAGCCCTCGTACTTGTAGCACTGGCGAAAGCTGCTAAGTGACGGTGGCTCTGAGAGTCCTTCCCAGGAGGCTTCAGACAGTGTCCCGTTGGGCAGGGACGGTCGTCACTGGCCTGTGTCATCAGCACATCTCTCCGACAGCTCTAGGCACTTTGCACAAGGCCATGAAGACAGTGCAGGTAGGAGAGATTATTCAGAATCCAGAGGAAAGAACGTAAGCAAGGTGGAGGAGCAACAGAAAAGAGTTGCAGTTTATGCCACAAAGCTCACTCCTCTGAAATAGCGAATGACAGAAGCTCAAGACCGGGACACGGTGTGAGCAGAGGGTGTACAGGAAAGGAAGTGAAACGGCTCTTCTGAGTGCCCTTCTCTGTTACAGACCACACGCCAGGGTTCCATCTCAGGGCTCAGGTCGGCAAAACTCCGTGTGTGGCAGCACCCCCTGCTGGCAAGGCCTTGGAGGAGCAGTTTGGTGGGGCCCTGGAGGGAATGGGGTGTGAAGCCTGAGCTTACTCAGAAGCTAGCACCCTGGGTCAGAGCACGCTCACGGCACGTGCATCCTTAGGACAGCGTTGTCTCCGGGAAAGTGTGTGCTTGTCTGTGACGCCCTGAGCTGTCTGGAGGTATCTCGGGGTGACCACTGAGGGTAGGGTCTGGGCTTGCTCTGCCTGATCCCCATCTATTCATCCTTAACCTCTACTTTCTCTGCTTTCCCGTTTCCTGCTGCAGGGGGACAGGACAGTGTTAAGGAGAGGCCTCAGGGAGGGCTAGGCGAAATGGCCACTGCGGGGTGGACTTGGGGTAGGCTGCGGTCGGGTCTCTCAGCGAACAAAGTCCCTTTCCGTTCCTGCTTTGCCAAGAATCGTGCCCCTTCATCATGGCAAGGGTTCGTAACCAGCTGAGAGACTGCACGGACCCCAGCAGTCCCGGCGCCATGACCTCGTGGAGCTGTCTTTACGGCGAGCGTCAGTTTGCAGACCCATGCTCCCTGATAACGGCCGAGGTAGCCAGCCTCCACTGCAGGGGAGAGGAGGAGTCTTTGTCCTCACTGACCTGGCAGGGGCCGCCAGTCCTGTGGCCTTCAGGCTGCTGTGCTGAGGGTCAGAGTGGAAGGGCAGGCACCCCCACTCCCGACTGTGCCCTGCCCCTGTGGGATTTGGAGCACACATGGCCCACTGCAGTTCTCAGGCCACTGGGTCCAGGACTCGGACTGTGGGCGCAACGCGGGAATCCAGTGCCTTAGCTACCACGCCACCTGCTGGCCCCGAGCGTGTTCCTTCAGGCACAGGTGATGAGTGGCTGAAGAGCCTAGCGCCTGTTGGTGGCCCTCTGACCTCTCACTGGGACCCCGGCCTGCTTGCCCTGCCTACTCGCCCTGCGGCGGCTCCACGCTGCCTGTGTTTGCTCCTGTAGGGCCTCTGACCACATCGCTCCTGTCCCCAGTAAGCGCCCATCTCTTCTGCTCTGTTCCAGAAGGACCTGGTCACAGGGAGACCTTCGGACCACGCCGAACCACGCGTTTCCGGTAAGTAGCTGGGTGCTGGTGTGCAGTGGGGCTGACGTGTGTGGGAGGGCCGCACTGGGGGCCACAGCACAGATGAGTGGCCAACCTGGCTGTTTCTTGCATGTCTGCATCGGCGGAGCCGGGGCGTCCGGCTGGGCATGAGCCATGAGCGGCATTGCTGAGGCCACCACCAGCACTTGCCTGGGCCGCGCCTCCCCGCCCGGTGACAGCATGAGGCCTGCACGTGTCCCCTCCCGCCATTTTCCCTCCCGCCGTGGCAGCACGTACCCCGACCCGTCCGCTCAGCGTCGCCCCCTCCCGCCATGGCAGCACGTACCCCGACCCGTCCGCTCAGCGTCGCCCTGCCTGGACTCCGGTCTGTGATGCTGACAGCAGAGCCGCGTCCCCAACAGCAGGTCCCAAGGCCTGTCACTTCCCAGTGCAGGCAGTTCTAGCCCCTTCTGGAAGGGGCCCCTGAATTCCAGAGGCTGAGGGAGCAGCCTGACTGATGGAGAACCGGCCCCAGCTCGCCAGGCGCACGGAGGGCAGTGAGCCGCCTGCTGTGGCATGGGGCCTCTCAGCGCAGCGCTGCCCTCGGGGCCAGGCACGGCTGCACTTTCCTGGTTGGGCATGAGCTGGCTGACCTGGTCCTGGACCAGACGCCCGGGCTGGGCTGCCAGGAGGCTGGCACTGCGGGGGGAGTGTGAGGGTGACGGCAGCAAGCT